AGGGGTCTATTAATGAGGTCAATCAGAACATCAATTGATTGTTCTGGAATAGTTACCCTGAATGACACCTTTGCAATTGTTATCCATACCATCCTATGCAAATATTGACTGGGAAAAACTCCCCAGAAATTTACATGGGTACTGAGATTCAGGTGTGTTTATTTTTCTGGGTTTTGTTTTTGTTCTGTTTTTTGAGGCAGAGTCTGCCTGTACCCCTAGCTGTCCTGGAACTCACTATGTAGACCAAGCTGGTTCCACTCTCATGGAGATCTACCTGCCTCTACCTCTTTACTCTTACTATCTTTTACCTGGACATAAACATTATCATAACAGACTTAATGACCTCAAATAGCTAGATGGAAATATGAATTAAATAAGAAAACATCTTGTGATTAAGAACAAGGTCTGCTCTTCATACTTTTATAAAACAATTTAAAATAAGCTTTTCACCCTGAGCACAAAGAGCAAAGCTGGCGGGGGGAGGGTTACTATACCAGATTTCAAACTATATTACAGAGCTATAGTCATAAAAAAAATCAAGGTACTGGCACGGAAGTAGACCCATAGATCAATAAAACATAACTGAAGACCCAAACATAAGTATATGGAATTTCAGCCACCTGATATTTGACAAAGGGGCCAAGAACACTCAAAGGAAAGATAGTATCTTCAGCAAATGGTGCTGGCAAAACTGGATCTTCACTTGTAGAAGAATGAGACTAGACCCTTATCTTTCACCTTGTACAAAAGTCAACACCAAATGGAGTAAAAACTTCAATGTAAAGCCCGAAACTCTGAAACTGCTAGAAGAAAACATTGGCAGTAACCTACTAGACATAGGTATACAAAAGGACTTTCTAAATTGGACATCATTGCTCAGGAATTACGGTCAATAATCAACAAGTGGGACCTTGTTAAGCTAAAAAAGCTTCTATACAGCAAAATAAACAACGAAAGAAATGAAGAGAAAACCTTCGTCAGCAACACAAGAAAATCGTCATCAGTAACATGTGACAGAGGTTTAACACCAAGACTACATAAAGAACTCAGAAAACAAAGAATCAAGAAAACAAAGGAACCAATTAAAAGATGGGCTAAGGATCTGAACAGAGAATTCACAAAAGAAATAAAGATAGCTAAGAAATATCTTAAAAAGTGTTCAACATCGTAGTTAGAGAACTGAAAACTAAAACCACTTTAAGATTTCATCTTACCCCAGTCAGACCTGCTAAGACTAAGAGAACAAATGATACCAAAAGCTGGAGAGGATGTGGGGAAAGGGGAACGCTCATCCACTGCTGGTGGGATTGCAAACTCATGCAACCCCTATGGAAAGCAGTTGTGGAGAACTTTTGAAAAAAAACTAAAAATGAACCTACCATATGACCCGGTTATACCACTCCTTGGCAAATACCCAAAGGATTCATCCTATTGCAGAGATCCATGTTTGTTGCTGCCCTTTTCACAATAGCTAAGAGATGGAAGCAACCTAAGTGTTCCTCAACTGAGGAGTGGATAATGAAAATGTGGTTCATTTACACAATGGAGTTGTACACAGTGGTAAGATGAAATCAGGAAATTTGCAGGTAAATGGATGGAACTAGAAACTGTTATACTAAGTGAAGTAACAGTCTCAGAACAACAAAAGACATATGTTCTCCCTCATATGTGGATGCTAGCACCAAATCCTTATATGTGAGTATATATCCTCATGTAACTGCAGGAACCAGGAAAATGGAAAGGAACCAGGGAGGTCAAGAAGGAACCTGAGAGAAAAGAACAGTAGGAAAAAGGTGTTACTAAGAGAGAAATGGATAAAATGGAGATATTTAAATAAAGGGGGGAGGAGAGTTACACAAGAACTTTGGAGATAAAGGGAAAGAAGAAACTCGAGAGGTGGGACCATAGGAGACTGGTATTATCAAGGGAGAAATGGGGAAAATGGGGACACTTTAAATGGGGAAACCATGGTGGACGGGTTCAACAGGGGGAGAGAGAGATAAATAATGCCTAGCTAGTGTAGAAAACTAGAGGGAATCATATTAGTCCAACAACCTAAAGACAAATTACACATACAATATCTTCACGAGTCCATGTGTATAGTAGAAAGCTACACAACAAGAAACTGACAGGAGAAACCTTCCTTTGAGTTGTTAGCCAGGGTAGTCCAAGAGACTCCCAAAATTGTGGCTATTGCCACAGCCCTTGATTGCCTCCCAGAGCTTGAAGGTAAGACCCTATTGCTGAAAAGAGAACATACTTTGGACACAGGTTTTGGAGCAATGGTGCTGGAACTCACCTGAAGCCACTTCCTCTGAAGGCTAGCTCTCATAGCAAGCTTCTAAGGGAGAACATGAATTGATGGGCCAACACCAGTTTCAAGACCAAATAACCACATCAATGACTGGCACAGCATACAACATTGGTGCAGTAGTGGCACTTTTTTTTTTTGGTCTTTTTTGAGACAGGGTCTCCCTGTAGCTCCAGCTGTCCTGGGACTCACTATGTAGACCAGGCTGGCCTTGAACTCAGAGATCCGCCTGCCTCTGCCTCCCGAGTGCTAGGATTAAAGAAAGGCGTGTGCCACCATGCCAGTAGTGGCACTTTTATCTTGGGGGCAATCAACAGCTACATAACTGGACTGAAAGCTCACTCAATGGAAGAAACTCATATGTGGTACTATAAACATAGCCAAATACACATGGCTGGAGAGGTCATAGATTTTGGAGAAAACCCCAAGACTGCTACATCCCTAGACCAATATAATTTCTTACTATGTACAAAATATGTGCCCTTATATTTACAGACAATATTCCAGTCACTACTCATCAAAGAAGCTTCTCTTGCACCAGATGGAGTCTATTAAGGGTATCACAACTGGGGCTGGAGAGATGGCTCAGCAGTTAAGAACTCTGGTTGTTCTTGCAGAAGACCCAGGTTCAAATCCCAGCACCCACATGGCAGCTAAGAGCTGTCCATAACTTCAGTCCCAGGGGATCCAACTGCCTCTTCTGACTCCACGGGCATTGCACAATACGGGTGCACTTACCTGCATGCAGGCAATACACGAATACACATAAAATAAAAAAATAATTAATAAATAAAAATTAAGAGTACCACAACTGGTCATATTCAGACAGTATCTTGTGAATTAACCAAGCCTAAGTGGCACACCTACAATGCAACTTCTACACCTAAGGCTCATGGAATATAGAGGACAATAATGAAAAAAGACCCCAAAGAAAAGTAGCCAGTTTCTTAGCTAAAAGTAAAAATGTCCTTGGGCCTCATAGCAACAAACTCTGTTCCAAAGGCCAAAAATGTCAAAAAGTATTTGGGAGCTCTTATCTAATCCTTAAAAGATTTTAGGGTTACCTCTTCAGAGGGGGGAATGTTAGAGTAGCAAAAGGCCCCATTTAAAAAAAAGAAGAAAGTACATAAGTTATCAGAAAAAAGTGATGGGGAGATAAGGGAGGAGTTGGAGGGGAGGGAGTGGGCATGGATTTAATCAAAACACCTTATATGCTTATAGGCCTGTAGGTAATACTCAATAATTAAAAAAAAAAAAAGACACTAATGAATATCTCAATTCTCATTAACGAAGCTCCCTCATTGTAGGAGAGGAAGTGCCAGGCCTAAGCACAGGCTGCACTAGAGAACACAGCTTCTGCCTTGAGAGTGCAGCCCATGCTTTCGGCTTCCACAAAAGAGCCAACCTAATCTGACCCTGGACCTAGAGACTGATGACATGAGCGGCCTGGATGAGGGGATCTATCAGGGAGTGACACACCAGCTTATGGGACACTGGGGCAGGGGGAGAGATATATAAGGCCTGCACTTTCCAGCAATAAACAGGTCTGCAGCACCTCGCCTAGTGCCTGCTTCCACCCAACTCCTGGTGTCTGTGTGTTGACTCCGCACCTCTCACCCCCACCTCGGCCAGAACCCTCATTTCCTGCAGTCCCTCGTGGGCTGGACCCACGAGGAAACCTGCAACAGCTGGTGCCCGAACAAGGTTCCTGGCCCCCTGGCATTGGCAACGCCCCCATCTTCGGTTCATTCAGTGAGTAGGCCCCGGGTTTTGTCTGTCCCTTCGGCTGCTCGAGGGTGAGTGAGTGACCCCCTCCTCTGTCCCCTCTATCCTGTTTGTCATATTTGTTGTTAAATCAGGAAGGCACACTCCGCCACGTGGTCCCAAAGCCCATGTCGACAC